ACAGGACTGTGGCTAGACCCCAGGCTGACCCATTTCAAATGACCTTGGGTGCACCTCACAGGGCACCGAGGTCTCAGGGTGGTTATCTCCCCCCTCTGGAAAAGGAAGAGGCCAGGGGAGATGTGTATGCTCAAAACTGCTTCAGATAGTTTCCCTAACCAAAGAAGCAGAACTTTCTCTTTCCTGGCCCAAAAAGGGCCTTATGTGCAGTATGTCTTCGGTGTTTATCGTGAAGGCGGTGAGTGCTTCTTGCCTTCAGTAGCTGTTGCCCCAGCCATTACTTTCCTGAGAACAAAAATAGTCTCACAAAAAAAATAAATTGAAGGCATTATTTTCCTTTTTTTTTTTTGGAGTAGGAGGGGTGGTGGGTATGTTTAAAATGCCTTTTTTGAAAGACTCTGATGTCTTTAGGCACAAAGAAATGTTCCAGCACATCCCAGTGAAGTTGTGCAAAGACCTCTTTTACTTCTGTTTGCATACAAAGGAGGACTTTAATCTGAGGCAGGGATTTGGGGATTATAACAGTGATCAGGAGGTTCTCCTCATCCTTGTTTTCGTAGTGATGTCAGAGGGCAGCGACTGCAATCAGTGGCAGTGAGATGCAGTACCAACCCCCAGTGCGGGCACTGGGTATGTTTTAAAGAATGTATTTACTTGCAGTTGCTGCATTAGGCAGATTTCAGCCTCATAGTATAAGAAAAAGATTGTCAAAACCTCATTTTCCACCAACTATTTCCATGGGAGAAAGAAAAGGTGCCATGGCAAAATGGTTGGGGTTTTAGGTTTGGGATTTTTTTTTTTGGGGGGGGTGGAGGGGTGGTAGTGGTGGTTAGTGTTTTGAGCCAAGGAAAATGTTTTTTATTCAGAGTAAAGATATTTTAATGTTTATTGTCTTTGATCAAGCCAGTGTTTAAAACAGAAGTATTTCATTTTTATAATGTCAGAATTAAATATTTTTCTTATTCTGCTGTTCTCTTTTTGGGCATGAGAAATTTGTTGAAGCTGAGAAAAGTTAGGCAAAATACCCTCCGAAGTTTTTTTATAATCTCCGTTTTTAGTCTAAAAATGTAAAGTCTATAACTCTTACTCAAGTTGCAGGAAAGCTCACTGAGTGAAATATGACTGTGTGTCTCAGGGCATCTGCTTAAGCCAATAAAATACTGTCAAAGATATTAATGGTTAGAGAACTTATGGGCATATACATATCAGACAAGTACATAGGTCATGATATAGCTAGATGGGTCATAACTTACTAATTTTTAAAAGTTGAATAATTTTTAATTGAGTTGTTCATAAATAATTTTTTACTTCTGCATGTTTTGCAAGAAAAAAAGAAAAGGAAAGAAAAAAGAAAAGGAAGATTTCATAAATAAAGACCATAATCATATGGCAGAGCAATGACAATACATGGGTGGGATTCCCAAATGTGCATTGGAGTAACAGTGAGTACTTTGAAAAATTGCATCCTTAGAAGCCAGTGAGTGCGTATCTGCATAATGGATTAACATTTATTAGCCCGATTTGTGTACGCCGTGATGTGCGTACGTAACTTTTAATTAAATCTTTGCATTAAAGGTAAGAATGGCTTTGACTTCTTGGTGGAACAGAATCTATTTACTTCCCACATTATCCACGCTATCTGAGTAGACATGCAGAGCGCACAGTGCTGCTTCTGCACTAGGAACTGGGAGGTTTCAAATAGAGGAGCAGATTATGAATAGTAAACATTGCTAAAATGCATCTGGGTGAACGGTTGTTTTGTGCCAAGTTATTTCAAAATATTGGAGTATCTGAACTATGTGAGTATACAGTCTAATGCCCTTTTTTTTTTTTTTTAAGTTTGTAAACTAGAGGCTTACCAAATCCTCTGCCATAAAGAAGCGTGGATGCTGCTTTGGGATTTAGGCTGATACCTGCCACAATGTCCCATGAGCCCATGGTTCCCCTTTACCATGGCTCCCCACCTTGAAAATGGGATAATGTCCATGCTGTGGCAGAAGGTGCTCTGAAGGTCACTGCATTAAGCGGTGATGAGGGCTTGGACACTAGAGCTGTGAGATGCTCCATCTCTAAGGATGGAGTTGATGGTCTCAGTCTCTTGGAAGTCATTAGAGGCCACCCCAAAGTGTGGACTGGAGCTTGCAGTGGGTGAAACCGCTAAGGACCTCTCGGAAGAGGTTTTCAGCCTCAGACATCTGGCTTTCCTGTGCCCAATTTTTCGATTGCTGTATTAGCATAGTGTTTGAGAGTCGTCTTTCTTTACAGTGTGTTCAATAAGTTACAATGCAATATTGATCAGCATGTTTTTGTGTGTATGTTGAGTTAAAGCTAAGGTAAATAATGAACTGAAGTTAAATCAGGCTAGTGATATTCCTGGAGGATATCTTTTAAGAGAGAATCTAGTTGACAGTATTCCTTTTATTCTTCAGGAATCTTTACATACACTACAAAATTAGTTAATTTGTTATAATTTTGCCTCTTTCCTCTAAAATATACATGTGTATATATATATATATTTTTTTTAAGCTGAAAAGTCTACTTTTGTTGACAGCCAAACCACGTCCTGTTAAAATTCCTTATAATACAGAGAAGATAGATACATCAGCATTAGGAAGCAGTGGAAGGGGAAGGCTTTTGCATTCATAAAAAAGATAAAACTGACAATATCTGAATAAACTTTGCTATATTTTTTGTGTAAGTCATGTAACGTTACCAGTTACATAGAAGCTGATAATACTTATAACACGTTACTGAAGTTATATGTTCTTTTGACAGGGCAGACTGCCTTCCATTGGAAACTTTTTGTGGGAGAGGAAGGGGAGGAAGAAAGAGATCATGGTATTAGTTTTTTTGCAGTTAAAAATCAAACAGAGCTGTCTTTAAAATTCTGATTACATAAAGGAAAATAAAACATGCAAGAGATTCAGTGAAGATCTTAAATACTGTTTTAAAATACTTCTCAAGTCTTTGAAATATATATGATGAAATTGTATTCTGCAGCATGCGGAAGCTGAGTGTGTGTTCCAAAATTATCCTGCAGCACATTTATATGGATGATTTAAAAAGCCCTGGAGCCAAGAGTTTAGAATAGAAGTACAGACAGATTGATACTGGTAAATATAGCAGTGCTAATACTGTCTCTCTCACATGCAGACCGAATGTTGTAGATGTGGAGTTTGGCATATTTGCTTTACCCCAGAGCAGCAGAACCGTATGAGAGTTATGCAGGTCACCTGGCAAGAGGGCAAAGCCAGTCGGGCTTATGAATTTAATAAGCCAGAAAGAGATGAGAATTTTTTTGAAGTATTGTTTGCTGTAATTTCAGCTTCTGAAGCCCATGCCTGCTCTTGCTTCCAGGGGAGGAGAATTTACATGGGCTACAGCTGGTCATGAATTTTTTAGTTCGGAGCCTTTTGTAGAAGATCCCTCCTGTCCAGGAAAAGTTCCTGAGGAGAGGAAGGCTGAGCCCTGGCCACCTTGTGCAGGTTACTGGAATCTGAACCCCAGTTCTGGGTCAGGACTGGGAATGGTGGAACTCGTGTCTCTGCACCCTGGGGGTATGATCTCCCTCCAGCCAAGGCAACCCTTAGGGCCACCTTGGTGCCCACCAAGGGCCACCCAGCTCAGCCATGGGACCTTCCTTCAGGTGGGAGAGGGCTGGAAGCACAGCGTGTCCAGCTCAGGCTTGGCTGGGCACGGAGACAGGCACTTGCTCCTGGTGACAGGCGTGCACTGCCTGAGCTACAAGGCTGCAACACCTTGTCCAAACCAGTACTGGCTCAAGGTTGCTTGTAGATGGCCTGTCAACAGATCAGTGTCTGAATGCTCTTCTTTAAATCATGGCTTCACTGACTACTTTTGGACAATCCTTTTGGACCGTAGCCTGGGAACTAATAGCCAAATATTTATTATCTTGTCTTGTGTCAATCTCCTTTTTATCAATGACTGCACAATTTTTAGTCTTTATCCTGGAATGGAATTAGTGGATGGGGTTGAGAAGAGACAGCTTTGAGAAGCTTCAGAAGAGATTTAGACTCCTCTTTATGCAAGTATCCTATTTGTGGCCTCCATGGGCAAGAAAAACCTACCATTTAAAAAAGCACTTTTGGTCTGTACCTCAATGTTGCTTGTCCCAGTCATTGAATTAGTGTGAACTGAAAGAGAAAGGAGGTACCTGCGGAGTTTCTGGAGGTCTGGTGCGTTTTATGAGATAGCTTAGTCCACCGAGTCATGCAGGTAAGGACTTGGGTCATCAAGCATTGGTGTTAGCAATGTGCGTATCCACCTCTGTGCAGCTGTCAGTTGTAGTGGGCTGTTAGTGGCATTTTTATGGGTTTGGAATTTAAAAGTTCCCTTTAAAAAGTCTTCACCTTTGGAAAATAATTACTAGAGTAAAGGAATTGCTGTAAATGACATTAAAAAAACCAAACCACCTATTTGAAGAAATAGCTGTTAGTAGTTTGTTGCAGTTTCAACCAAGTGATCATTTCACTCCTTAAAATTGGATTTTATTGCTGCTAAAAGATAATCCATCAGTTGTTTTGAAGGTGCTTTCCGATATGCCCTCATCTTTCATGAATATGATTTCAATGAAAACTATCCGTGTTCAATGCAGGAGTACAGCCACCTTTTCTGGTAAGCTCTGCTTGTTGCTGTTCATGGGGAATTTTTCTGCACCGTTCCAGCTGTGTGTGTCTGATGGTGGCTTGAGTTATTCTCCATGTCTTTGCTAGTGGCATTTATTTTTTATGGGGTGTTTCCATCAAAAGTAATCAACTATTTCAAAGTGAGGCTGGTAAATGCAAGATTTATTGTTCAGGGGCTCCTGGATGAAGTGTTTGATTGTAAGCGTGAGATACTCAGTTTTCTGGAGAAGTTCCTCGAGTCCTCCAGTATAAAATCCTGGCTGACGCACACGTGGTTCTGGGTTTGGTGAAGAGATCTGTATTCTGCTCGCTTTTACAGACTTAAAGTAACAATCTTTTTTGGTGCTTGCTCAGATCAGGTGGACCAAAACAGCAGGAAGTGCCTCTGACAGATTTCAAGACTCGAGTGTCTTCAATGAAACCCTGAGGATATCCAACATCCAGCGACACCAAGGAGGACGCTACTACTGCAAGGCTGAGAACGGCTTAGGTTCGCCAGCCATAAAGTCCATAAGAGTGGACGTGTACTGTAAGTAAACCTCTTGGGGAGTTCATAGTATATATACATATACATATGTCCATACATATACTTTTTATTAACTTCTTACAATATCTGGTGTTGCAAAGAAGTGACCAGGTCTTTGGGAAGGCCAGTTCTAAACAGTACTTTAGGGCAGATTCTGCAGCTTTTGGGATATTTATGGTCAGAAGACTTGTGGCTGCTGCCAGTGAGGTCAGGTGGGGCTGCTTGCATATGGAAAAATCTTTAAACAAAATCACAATACTTCGGTAAGAAAGATTAAGCTCAGGTACAACTCAGCCAGCTTAGATATCAGAGGAAGATTTGTCTGCAGCTTGCACAGGGTGAAGATCTAGTACATAGCACAGTCCTTAATCTCTTGTGCTTTTGGCTGTGCTTGCCCTTGAAACTGATATGGGAGCAAGTACTCTTTTGCTATTTTACCTTAATTGCTGCTGAAAGATGTTTGGGTTTTTTGTTTGTTTTTTAAATGCCCATCTCTTCACGTTCCTGTGATACGCAGTTGTAAAAGCTGCATTTGAAATGTTGGGCAGTGAAAAATATGAAGCATTGGGATTGCAATGCAATTGGTCACCAGAGCTCACAGAAAAGGAGGAAACAATTTAAAACATCATACTGCAATAAATGCACAAAATGAAATTAAAAAGAAAAAAAAAATCCTATTCTGACTTGCACAGACTCCAGTGTCAGTGAGTGGGTTAGTCAGAAAAAGCATGGCTCTTGCTTGTGAGCAGGTAGTTTATTGCTGTAGGTTTAATGGTAAACTTTGCATCTGATGCTGTAAATTATGTGACTGTACTCAGCTGTTGGAAAGAGGGAAGACCTGAATGCCTTAAACTGTGGTTTTGTGTACACTTCAGATTAAGAAAAAACTGTTCAAAATCTGTTTGAAATGCTCCAAAGATAGAAAGTCTTTGCGATATACGTTTGGAGACTCTTCTAATGCAAGTAGTGTTGTGTAAACAAATATGTTTACGTGCCACATATGTATTTAAACAAATCGCTAGAGCTTGAAGTTAGCCCTTTAGACTCTTGAGTCCTTCGAAGAGAAACCTGACTGTCTTATGACTATACCAGCATTGGGCTTGTCTTTCCCCAAAAGTACCCTCTGTCTGTCAGCTGAATCTCAGGATGTATGTTCATTTAGAGACCCAAGTGGTGACAATTTTTGTGGGTTAGTTATGGGATTGGTGGAGGGGGCAACTGCCTTTTGGGGGATTTTCTTGCCTAGCGTGTGCACTTAGCTTCATGATGTGCTTAACGAGCTGTAACATAGCAATGCCAAATTTGTAAATCCTTTATGAACAATAACTGAATTAGGAAGTAATTGCTCATTAACTTGTTGGAGTCCAATAAACGAGCAGGCAACTGTAATGACTGTATATAAGCACACCACGCAAAGCATTCAGTGTTTGTAACGGGGCCGGCCCGAGATTTGCAGCAAGGGGCGAGCGGGCTGCCCAGTGCAGGCAACGTTCAGGGCTCCATGGTGCAGGTTGTGGTCCCAGCACCCCAGTCGTGCAGGGGCTCGAGCTGCCCCGGGGAGCCCCAGGGTCCTCCACGCACACACGGCTGCTGAAAACATTTCGTAGGTCAGCCCTGCGTAGCTGTTCCATAAAAACCCCCAGAGCAAACGTTTAAGTCTCTTCTTTTGGATGCCGTTAAAGCACTTCTCTCTTACCCCAGCATCCCTGTGTTAGATTCTCCTTCATTCTTAATCGTAGGCATGGCTGTGACGCTGATGTTGGCAGGAAAGGCAGGAAAAGCAGTCGCAAGACTGGAATGCTGCATGGTCTGAACAGGGAGCATTGAGACAGATTGTTTTGAAACTTTGATTTTTCTTAATTTCAGTGAGACTTCCTTCTGGAATATGTCTTTTTACTTGTAACTTATTTTGTTTAGCTATTAATATGTGTTCTCAGATTCGCTGTCTAGGATTTATTACAGGTTTAATTTTGTTTTTTAAATCATATGCTACTTCTTAGTATACTTCAAATACAGATTATGTCTTTCTGGAACATGAAAAACTCCAGGTTCCAGCTGTGATTAAATCCTAGGTGATTTCTCTCTGTATGCAGGCTGATATTTCACTGAGTATTTTCATCTGTTAATGATCAAATATTTGCAGGCAGACAGTACTGCTGCAGTACGCTTAAGTTGCCAGCGAAGATTGGATCTAGCTGTGAAAAAGATAGGAGAAAAGACCCTGTACCCCAGAGAAAAGCTCGTAAGAAATCAAAGTACTGGAAATAGAAATGTTCCTGTTGAAATTTCCAAGTAGCTTAAAATAATTTTGTCTTTTTTTAACTTGAAATTTTCTGTGTTGATTTTCTGTTTGTTGAATGTTTCCTTTATAGATCATATGTTTTGGTGTGCAATGTCAAGAACTCTGGGCAGTACTGAGCAGGAGTGTTGGGGGTGGGTGTGTTTTCTTGAATGATTACCCACAAGATGGTTTTGCTCAGAGACCCCGAAACAAACCATAAGGATCACAAGTACTTAGCCAACATGTTCTGTCAAAGCGTGTTTTGTTTTTTTAGTGAACATGTATTTAGTAAAATTACATAAAGACAGTTTTCTTACAGATTTAGGTAACTGTCAAAACTAAACCTGTGGAAATCAGATTATATTCCCTTTTGAAAGCAAAACTTTATCATTAGAGTAAGAAAGAAATGTTTTTAATTTTTTGATGAAACCCTCAAATGTGTTTAAGGAAACAAAATGTTTATATTTCTTAAAACCTGTATTGGTGAAAAATCAGTTTGGAAGCATCTTGGCTTGTAAAGCTAAAGAGAGAAAACAATGTTAAAGTTGTGTTCCATGTTAGTTTTGGATCAAGAGCACTTCCTAAGGGCTAATTTAAGTCTTCAGCCTCTAATTTAAAATTTGAAAAGGCACTATATCTGTGTAGCTTGAAAATGAATCGTTGAAAAAAAATCCACAGAAAATCTTTGTTTCCTCATTCATCTCCATTATTGACTTGCTGGCTGGTTGGAAAATTTTAATATCAACATTTGGATGGGAAATCTCACTCTCCAGTAATTTCCTGTTTTTCATTTTCCAGTTAGTTCTGGCATTCAGCAGCACTTGGAGCCACATTTGCTCCTACTGCAATAATTAATTCTACAGATATAAGTGAATGAGTGAGAGTGTTGGGCTGTGTGAGAGGAGAGGGGGTGGTTACATTATTTTTATGGACTTTCTGCAGTCTTGAAAGTGCTTTTAGTTTTGTTTTTGCAGGAAGGCTCCATCAGAAGTTGCCAGATATTTTGCATGGATCTGCATGTGTCAGGTGGCTTATCTGTTAAAGAAGTCTCAAAAAATAGCATTATCAATTTCTCATGATCTCAGATGACTCTGACCAAATCTTCTGACTGCTTGGTCCTCAGTGTTCAAGAGGTACTCGATGAGTCTTCTGTAAAGAAGAACTAAACTAAAGCTCTTGGGCAGCTGCAGAGCATTTACAGAAACCTGCCTGTGGTAGGACACGTGTTTTAGGTCTTGCCCGTGATGTGGTTGGGAAACGAGAGAGTGAACTGCAGTCCTGTGAAAATCTCCATCCCTGTCACCCAGTGCTCATTTCTGTTTGGGCCCATCTGCAAAGAGTGGGTGCTGGGTCTCAGTTCCCCCATTGCATAGCAGGATCCAGGTGGACCGGTTCATTCAGTATTTGGAAGTAAATTATATTAGTGTTCATAGATAGATGCATGTTATTCCTTCACCTCTGTGAGTTCAATGCAGGCATAATGGTCACTTGGTATTATTTTGGTGTAGTCTGTAATTCGATTTACCACTTTCTGAAAACTATTTGCTTATTAGTCTGAATTACATGCTGCTTGAGGGCATAGTATTTTTTCTTTTCTAAGAAGTTAAACAAAACCCTGAACGTTTTATAACTATTTTCATGTGTAAGGAACACAGCTAAGGAGTTAAAGTAAACACATGCAATCATTTTGAAAACAGCCAGAGGTGTAAATCGTCTGCTGGACTGAAGGGAAAAAAAGCGCTTTGTCAAGAATAAGTAGTTCACATTGTTTACAGTCAAACATGTAACTGTGTATCCTGGTGGGCTGGTTTTACTTGGTTCACATCAGACATGCCTGCTAGATGTCTGAATCTCTGAGAGCTGAAGGAAAGTCATTCAGGTGCAGCATTCTCATCAAACTCCATTTAGTTGTGACACTGCTTTTAGTGATGCACCAAGGAGGAGAGGGAATTTTGCTAGCACTTCTGCAGGTGATGGCGGTAGTACCGTACCTACTTTATTTAAAACTATCGTGGATTATACCAAACTAGGTTACAAGCTATTCTGTTCCTTTAACATACACAGATCTAAGTCAAACCTTTTAAAACCAGCAGTCCCTTTTAGTATGCTGTCAAAATACTTGAATGTAAAAAGGGGGGGGGGGGGGGGGGGTTCAGGGTTGCCAAAGTTCTCATTTCATCTATAGCTACTCTTGGAAAGAGCAAGGAGTCCATGCCTGTTCCTGGGCAGGCTCAGAGCCTCTTTCCAACACTTTCAACTCATCTTCTTGGTTTTCTTTCTTGAGAACAAGTCTTATGAGGAGCAGCTGAGAGAAATGGGGCTGTTCAGTCTGGAGAAAAGGAGGCTGAGGGGAGACCTTATCGCTCTCTACACCTACCTGAAAGGGGGTTGTAGTGGGGTGGGTGTCCATCTCTTCTCCCAAGTAACTAGTGATAGCTAGTTCCAAGAGGAAACAGACTCAGGTTGTGCCAGGGGAGGTTTAGATTGGATATTAGGAAAAATTTCTTAACTGAAAGAGCTGTCGAGCACTGGAACAGGCTGCCCAGGGAAGTGGTGGAGTCACCATCCCTGGAGGAATTTTAAAGGATGTGTAGAAGTGGCACTTAGGGACACGGTTTTATGGTGGACTTGGCAGTGTTAGGTTAATGCTTGGACTCCATGATCTTAAAGTTCTTTTCCAACCTAAATGATTCTATGATTCTCTGCTAGTTTCTTTTAGAAA